CTCCTTCCTTTCCCCTTTTCTGACTTCCTTCCTTCTCGTATCCCCTTGATTTCATTTTGCCATCTTATTGTTCTAGCTAGAACTTCAAGTACTAGATTGAATAGATATGGAGAGAGTGGACAGCTTTGTCTTGTTCCTGATTTTAAGGGAATTGCTTTAAGTTCTCTCCATTTAATTTGATGTTGGCCATGGGCTTACTGCATATTACCTTTATTATAATTAGGTATGTTCCTTGTATCCCTGATCTCTCCAAGACTTTTATCATGAAGGGGTGTTGGATTTTGTCAAAGACTTTTTCAGCATCTAATGAGATGATCATGTGTTTTTTTTTTCTTTCAGTTTGTTTATATGGTAGATTACATTGGCAATTTTTTGTGTGTTGAACTATCCCTGCATCTCTGGGATGAAGCCTTGATCATGGCAGATGATCTTTTTGATGTGTTCTTGGATGTGGTTTTTGAGTATTTTATTGAGTATTTTTATATTCATCTTCATGAGGGAAATTGGTATGTCATTCTTTCTTTGTTGAATCTTTGTGTGGTTTGGGTATCAGGATAACTGTAGCCTTATAAAATGAATTTGGCAATGTTTCTTCTGTTTTGTGGAATAGTTAGAGGAGTATTGGTATTAGCTCTTCTTTGAAAGTCTAGTAGAATTCTGCACTGAAACCATCTGACCCTGGGCTTTCTTTAATTACAAGACTCTTAGTGACTGTTTCTATTTCCTTGTGGGTTATAGCTTTAATCCATGGTGGTCTGATGAGGTACAAAGAATTATTTTAATTTTCTTGAATATGTTGAGACTTTTGTGACCGAGTATATGGTCAGTTTCAGAGAATGTTCCATGAAGTGCTGAGAAGAAAGTATATTCTTTTGTGTTTGAATAAAATGTTCTGTAGATATCTGTTAGGTTCATTTGAGTCATAACATCTGTAAGATCCATTATTTCTCTGTTTAATTTTTGTCTAGATGACCTGTTCATTGGTGAGAGTGTGATATTAAAGTCTCCCACAATTAGTGAGTGAGCCGGGCGGTGGTGGCGCACGCCTTTAATCCCAGCACTTGGGAGGCAGAGGCAGGTGGATCTCTGTGAGTTCGAGGCCAGCCTGGGCTACCAAGTGAGTTCCAGGAAAGGTGCAAAGCTACATAGAGAAACCCTGTCTCGAAAAACGAAAAAAAAAAAACAAAAAAACAAAAAAACAATTAGTGAGTGAGGTTTGATGTATGATTTAAGCTTTAATGATTTTTTTTTAAACAAATGTGGGTGCCCTGTGTTTGGGGCATAGATGTTAGGAATTGAGATGCCTTCTTGGTGAATATGAAACATTCTTCTCCATGCTTTTCCATTAATTTTGGTTGCAAGTCAATTTTTTTTAGATATTAGAATAGCTACACCAGCTTGTTTCTTAGGTCCCATTTTCTTGGAAAATCTTTTTCTAAGGCTTTACTCTGAGGAAATGTCTATCTGTGGTGTGAGGTGTGTTTCTTGTATAAACCAGAAAGATAGATCATACTTTCGTATACATTCTGTTAGCTTGTGTTTTCTTATTGGGGAATTGAGTCCATTGATATTGAGAGATTATTATTAACCAATAATTGTTAATTCCTGTTATTTTGTTGCTGTTAGTTAGTTTGTGTGTGTGTGTGTGTGTGTGTGTGTGTGTGTGTGTGTGTGTGTGTGTGCATTTCCCTTCTTTGGATTTTGCTAGTGTGAGATTATTTATTGCCTGTTTCCGTGGGTATAGTTACCCTCCTTGGGTTGAAGTTTTCCTTTTAGTACCTTCTGTAGGACTGGATTAGTGGATAGATACTGATAAAATTTGATTTTTTTCATGAAATATCTTATTTTCTTCATCTGTGCTGATTGAAAAATTTGCTAGGTTTAGTAGTCTGGGCTTGCACCTATGATCTCTTAGAGTTTGCAAGACATCTGTCTGGGTCCTTCTGGCTTTTAGAGTCTCCATTGAGAAGTTGGATATAATTCTGATAGGTCTGCCTTTATATGTTACTTTGTCTTTTTCCTTTGCAGCTTTTAATATTCTTTCTTCATTCTGTACGTTTAGTGTTTTGATTATAATGTGGCATGGGAACTTATTTTTTTCTGGTCCAGTCTATTTGGTGTTCTCTAAGCTTCTTGTAACTTTATAGGCATGTCCTTCTTTGGATTGGGAAAAATTTCTTCTATGATTTTGTTGAATATATTCTTTAGGTTTTTGATCTGTGATTCTCATATCTTCTATTCCTATCTTAGGATTGTTTTTTTCATAGTGTCCCAGATTTCCTGGATGTTTTGTGCTAGGAATTTCTTTAGATTTAATATTTTCTTTGACCAATTAATCTATTTCCTCTATTGTATCTTCAATGCTTGAGATTCTTTTTTTTCCATTTCTTGTATTCTATTGGTGATGCTTGAATATGTAGCTCCTGTTCACTTACTCAGTTTTTCCATTTTAAAAATTCCCTCAGTTTGAGTTTTCTTTATTGCTTCTATTTCCATTTTCAGGTCTTGAACCACTTCCTTCACCTGTTTAGTTATTTTTTCTTGGCTTTCTTGGCATTCTTTAAGGGGTTTATTGATTTCCTTGATTTTTTTGTCTTTGTGGTGGTTCTAAAGAAAATGGCCCCCAAAGAAAGTGGCACTATTAGGATGTGTGGCCTTGTTGAAGTAGGTATGGCCTTGTTGGAGGAAGTGTGTCATTGTGGGGGCAGGCTTTGAGGCCTCTTTTGCACAACAATTTCCAGTTGCCTTCTGATCAAGATGTAGACAGCACCATGTAGACCTGCATGCCACCATGCTCCCCACCATGATGATAATGGACTGAACCTCTGAAACTGTAAACAGCCACCTCAGTTTAATGTTTTCCAATTAAATGTTTTTCTTTATAAGAGTTGCTGTGGTCATGGTGTCTCTTCACAGCAATAGAAACCCTAACTAAGACAGTCTTTTCCTCAATTTCTTTAAGATATTTTTTTCATTTTCCTCTTTAAGGACATCTATCATCTCCATAAAGTTATTTCTAAGGTTGTTTTCTTGTGCTTCAGTTGTGTTGGATTGTTCAGGTCTTGCTGTTGTAGGATAGCTGGGTTCTGGTGGTGCCATATTGCCTTTTCTGTTATTGATTGTGTTCTTACACTGGCATTTAGGCATCTGGGTTTGGGATGGTTACAGGTGTAGGTGTCGATGCCTGTGTTTGTCTTTGTTGCATGTGTGTTTTGTTCCTTGGTTTCTGTTTCCTCTCTGGTCTTCTGTCCTAAGTAGCCAGGGATCTAGTGACTAGTGAGTTTTCAGGTCCAGTAAGGTGTCTCTGAGGAGGTTTTGGGGGCCTTGGGGCCTGAGATCTTGCCTGACCTCAGGTAAAGCCGAAGTTTTCTTCCAAGTTTGTAGTCTGGAGTATGAAACCCAGGGGAAGGGGTGCAGTCTTGGTGTGTTGGGTGGGCTTTAAGGAGTGTTAGGGGGCAGTGGGTAGTGTCTTACGTGGGGTCCTTAGGACCAGCCTGGTAAAGCTGTTGGGGCTGTGGGCTGGAGTATGGAGCCCAGGGAATGGGATACTTTGGGTCCCTAAATTCGGCCTGGCCTTCAGTAAAGCCATACTTCTTCTGATATTTTAGGCTGGAATCTGAAGCCTGGGGTTGAGGGGGGAGGGGATCCTTCTTTCCTTCTTTCCTTCTTTCCTTCTTTCCTTC